ATATATATATATATATATATATATATATATATATATATATATATATATATATATATATAGTATATATATATATATAGTGAGGAAGGATATATATATTGTCCCAAGTTGCTTTTTTTAATATTGATATGTATTCCTTTCTAGGTTTACACACAGAACTTTAGCGATTCTTTAAGCATGCAATATCATCAGCAAATAATGTCCATATTTAATTTATTATCACACACGCATCCTAAAGCTACAGGCTTCCTTGCAATTTGCAAGCTGTGATATCTTCCATATAATACCAAACATATTGAAAAGCAATTTCCTTTTTGCAGTTATGCCTCAATACTATGTTTTTTGGGAACAGTAAGATAAAGACAGCACAATGTTCTATGTGTGGATTCTCCTAAACAGATTAAAAGTGCAGTCATTCTCATTTCATACTTTAGACTGGGTTCCTAAATGTTTACCCAAATGAAGGCAAAGTTTAATGTTGCTGAGTTCACAAACATCTTTGTGATCTCTGCCAGATCTTTAGGTGCTGAGCTCTAGGAAACGCATTTTTCTGCAGTTAGAAACTGTCTTACCGCTGTCCCTGATCAGCAAACTCAAACTGAACATATGCATGATTTCCATGCTCAGTGCATAGATTTCTGCAGAGGTGTGCAGATGTTTGGGGCAGGAATGACTCGCTTTTTCTTGCCTCCAGTGCTTTTATGCTTACATCCAGCATCTACATGCCTGCAAAGAGATTAAAAGTAGCACAAAATGCTGAACACGATAATGTGATTAATTACGTAGCCATCGTTTGAGCATGCTAATTTGCTTTGCATCCATTTTGCTAAGGCGTGTTCCCCTGGGCTACTGGAGAATGCATTATAAAAATAAGGCTTTTGACTTCTCATAGAATGTTATTAATTGCCTTGTATATTAGGCTATGCGTCTAGAAGGGCCAGGTAAACACAGACATAGCTCTAATATATGGATATAAAATGCATTCTGTATGTATTGTAGAGCTGTTTTTTTCAAATTTGGAAGGGAGATGGAAACCTATCAGGCATGACCTTTGGAAGCTAAGGGTTAAATTACACTTGGTAGAAAACATTGAAGCTTAACATAGCATATATTGTTGCTTAACTGTTCAGTAATAGCTGTTCATTCAGAATCAGGTCCATAGCACTTGTAGGGAGAAAGGATATTAATATCTTGCCTAGTCACTGCTAACATGTTTTCTTGTGGGTTCATATGATCTTTAATTTGGAAGAACACGTTTCCATCCGTCATCCCAATTGCCAAATCAATTTGCAGCTAAACAAAGATGATATTGTACAGTATGTGCCTAACATTGTATGTGGTTTGCCTCTACTGTATTCTTAAGTTTGATGCTAAGTTTGATATTTAGAAATCTTGCTATTATATGCTTTTCGGTGTTTGTAATTTACCTTTCCATGTTTTCCTTGGATTTTCTTTTACAAAGCACTGTCACATTATAGTGGCCTTTCCACTTCAAACTGCTGTTCTGCATGGGCTTAACTTGACAAGGTTACTTTGATTTAAAACTATTACCTTTCTCATTCCACAAGTAAGCTTTCAGAAATTGCATGCCTACTATGTTAGTATCGAAAAACACATTGGAAATATATACATTGTATCCAAACTGGTATAAATGTCAGTATATACTGTATCATTAATATACCTATATCTCAATGTCAGAGCATTGACAGATTTTGATACTTATGTTGAAAAAAATGTGTTTATTTTTATACCAAGTTCTTGAGCTGGCAACTCTGTTAGTTGGTAGCAATAAGCTGTAGTTTATTTCAGTCATGGTTTGTTGAGCAATCAGGTTAGTTTTCCCATCCTATAGTTGCTTCTTTGCTCAGTGTTGGCTTAATCCTGCCCTCACTTTTCTGCAAAATATATCCTAAAACTTTTGCTGACATTCCTGAATTAGCATAGACCCAATACTACTTACAGTAGTACCTTGGTACTCGACTGCTTTGAAACTCATCAAATATAGTACTCAATGCATTTTGATGTGAACATTGTGTCCCGGTACTCATCGTTTGTTTGGTACTCAATGCATAAGTTGAATTTTTCGTTGTTGGCTGTCTTGTGGCTCATTTTATTATTCCTTTATGGTAGAAATTTGTTTGGTACTCATCATTTTTGATACTCATCACGCTTTCCAGAACCGGTTAACAATGAGTACTAGGGTACCATTGTACTTAACATTCAGTTGCAGAAAGCAACAGGGGATTCTAATCATTTTTGGCCATTTAGTGGTACACGGTAAAACAAGACATCTTCTTTTCTTAAACATGAACATGTTAGTCCTCATCTAGTTCTTTCCTGACAGGAACATAATTCAAAGTCTTCCCTCAGTGGAGTGCTATGAATTTATTTTCATAATCAAAAGCAAAGAGTTAATACTTAACTCACACTGGCTTTGGTAGAAATTTACCTAACATCATTTTCATCTTCAGCAAAATAGAAAAAAAACACGTTTCCAGTTGTTCCCTAGAATTCTCTTCCCAAAAAGATCATTTTGGCTTACTCATTTTGGTTTCTTAGACAATTTTTGTTTTGCAGGTTAATATCCAGTATATTTTTACACAAACCTTGTCCACAAAAGCTATACTTTGTTATGGGCTCCCAGCTTCCGAAGATTTTTTTTCCCTCCATAACCGACAATTGTTCATCAATCCATATATTTTTTGATTCGTGAGAAACTTTGATCCATTCGCAAACAAACGCAGTATTTTGTTACAGCAGAAAATAAATGGTAGAGGAAAAAGCTGTGCATAATGAGAGATTTCTTGGAAATAATGTTTTTGGGGATAGATACAGATAATTGGGAAAAATGATTCCAAGTGAACTTTCCTCCCATGTTTTTAGTATAATATATTTGATATCAGCTGATATTTTCAGGCTATATATTTGATTATGGGAGTAAGAGAGTGGTGTGGTGGCCCAAAGGTGGAGCTCTTGCCTCACAATCAGGTGGCTCTGAGTTCGATTCTAGGTAGAGAAAATATCTGCTGTGAGCTCGGCGTAGGTGTCAGGGAGGGCATCCGGCCAGTAAAATCTCAGCTCCAGTTAGTTGCCCTGACTCCACCCCAATGCAAGGGATTACAGAGTCATTAAAAGAAAAAAAAATGAATAAGTAAGGTCTTCATCTTCAAGTGGCACAAGAAAGAACTTCAATCTCAATTTTAACCACCTAAATATAATATTTTATTATTATTAAGCTTTCTTCCAAGAATTGCTGTTACACTAGACTGCTAAATTTGGCAACAGAGGCGAATTATTTGAGAAAAGGCAGACAAATAAATCAGGCGGCCACTGAAAGAATGTGGATCTGAAAAAGCAAAAAAACAACAAGACCAAAACAAAATTATCAGTGTTAAGAGAGTATTGTGGGTTTAAATGTAATGATATTTCACAGTTAATGCAAACTAGGATTTAAAAAAAAAATTTAGATGAGGGTTGATCTACTGAAAATAAAGCATAAACTATATTTAGATTAGAATCAGAATCCAACTTCAATTCATCTAGACAAATCATGAGTTAAAATTTTACTAGCATTAGGATCTCTTAAATCTAGTTGAAATACTTTATGTGCTTTCCCTCTTAACTGAATAGTGTGTATGTCAAAATAGCTATTCTATGCTGTTTTATATTTTTCTGGAATGGGAAGCCAGAAGGGAAAAAAATCTCTCTTGTTTAGGGGCAAGCAGAGGACATAACATTGTTTCAGTGAATAATTTTAAAGATGTACAGGTGAAACTCGAAAAATTAGAATATCGTGCAAAAGTTCATTTATTTCAGTAATGCAACTTAAAAGGTGAA